CTCTGACACACCGAAGCAGCTACTACACCTTGCAAAGTGAATAGCTGTTAACAAGACAGTCAGGTTCTTCTCGGTCTAATTTGTTGTTGACACTGTTCCTCAACTAAATCTACTGTCCTCAGATTTTAACCGAGGAGATTATCAAGATATCTCAATATATGCATGAGTGTCCATAGGATCGAACAGCCTCCTGGAGAGCACAGTATAGAATGCTCCGTCTGTTTGGCCCACCAGATTGACCTAGTGCTTGATATTCTCTCTCGTTTGATCTTAAAGACAACATCTGTCTTGATATGGATAAAATGTCTTGGAACTTCCATCAATGTTTTTACTCTTTTTAGTTCTTGGAAGGCTTATTCTTTGAGTATTCGGACGCAAAAAAGTGGATTTTTGTCCGATCATAAAATGGCGGATCGTGTGCTGGGCTGCAGAAGGGATTTTACTTAAATCAAAAGTAATGTGATATCGAGAAGGTTACTCCGATCAATATCGTTCCATACGAAACAAAATACTAGCATGATTCAGTCGAATATTCCGTTAATAATACCTTATTTTGTAAACAATTTTAACTGAATATTTGTTGTTTTGGCAATATAAAATTTCATACACTGGGTAAAATATGGCGCTACGTCAACAGGCGAAGTTCTGAATACCGTGTTGACAACTTCACGAGAGATCAATAAGTCTTTGTTTCCCACCTTACTTTGGAAAAAATGGGAACTTACGTTTTGACTTATTACAGAGCGACATTGCCACCACATTCAATAAAGTAATCCACACGGAGAGCGTTCTGTATCGGTCCATCCTGAATGAAAGTACCTGTGGATGAGATTTCTTGTTGATTAGGATCTTTCAAAATAAATAAAGGATATTCAGCAGCTTTCAACCATTGCTTGTATGAATGCACCCTTAAGCTTGAAACAATTGCACGTGACTTTTGGCGGGGATCGATAAAAATCAGCTGACAGTTTTATGAAGAGTTTATATTGATGACGATGCTGAGGCTGATGGTCTGAAGCAAGTTTTTGCAGCCGTTGTGTTCTGATCACAAACAATTGTCTGAATGTCTAGATTTCAATCTGCTTTGCCAAAGGTCACAACACAAAATACACAAGCCTCACTCTTTTTGGAAGTGCCGATCGAATCTTGGTGGATATTCTAACCTGAATATCTACAAGAATGGTTGAACATGATGTCATTCAGCAGTTGAGATAACCAGAAAGAGCTCAGACAGCACACAGAGCTAACCAAATTTCAGCCATGCAGCTCACGTGATCTGGCATTGATTACACCACCAATTAATAACAATACTCATCTGAACTGTGAGGTTGGTTTAATTGGCGATTTCTATCGATCATAAGACAGCAGCACTGTGCTTCCCCGATCGAATGGTTTCCTTCTGTCAGGCTGAAACTCAGAATTCACAGAAGAATTAGTTGCGTTCTGTTCCGTATGCCAAAATATCGACTTTCAGCTTTCCTCTTAACTCGTCAGTTTCACACATCCAAAGTGGCCATCTGGCAAAAGTTGTGGTTTTTCTGACTGGTCACTTTTAATGATGTATTTTGTAGGGCTCGTCGCCGCTGGAACTTGATTCCCAGTTTTTACTACCCCTCCACCGCAACGGAGACCCCATCAAAGAAGTGCTTACCATTTCAAGGGAATTAGATGTCACCTTTCCAGTGATGGGTTCTCTTGAACGGGATAGCGTTTTATAATGCTAACAACATAAAGATATATGAAGTGTTAGAGAACCCTGCCAAGCTGTTATTCCTGAAGTTGACTGTCTCGAAATTCCTGACGCTGAATAATTAGTTAGTAGTAGGCTTCGCATTGTCACGTAAAAAATTGATCGGTCTGAGAAACAACAAAATCTCTGGTGCTCCAAGCTATGGATGAGGAAGTTATGCTGATACCTTCCTCTACACCAAAAGAAAAACTAACATTATCTTAGGGCTATACCAGCTAACCGGGATGTGACGTTTGACGGCAGACCTATTTCAAATCGACCATTTCGTTTGTCCTATTAAGGCTGTGCACTGGAGGCCTTACGAAAGCACATTGCAGTAAGTGATTGTCCAGTCCGACACATAATCAACTCCCCTGGATTTTGGTGTCTGTAGGACGTTGTGAGATAGATTAACAATCGATTGTTTGGCCATCAGGATGTGCTTAGAGGGTAAGCGCAGATACTTACTATGAATACGAAGTTGGTCACTATACTGAATCAGACAGGGGTGGTGGATGCTGATATCAAGAACCCAACTGTTATTACACGGGTGACTAGAGAAGGAAAGATACTGCTGAACTGAAAGTACAATGTGCTGGCTGATGAATTAGACTCAGCGGTTCTCATTCGTACCAGTTCATGGCTTAAAATAGATATCTCCATATTCCGAAGCTTCACTGCAACGCCGAACAAGGCTATGCAGGGATCCTGGATGTCTTTATTTGTCTGAACAGTCCTCGTCTATGTTTTTTCCACTTTCCACGCTCATTCTCTCGATTGAGAGTCAGCGTTTCTGACCACGTAATAAATAGATAATAAAATAATCGTTCGGTGGCTAGCTGCCGTGCCACCAGACGGAAGCACGAGGGCCGGGATACTGCCAGGTTGCCAAAGTCTAGACAGGGTAAATCGAGAGGCCAACGGAGACCCCATCAAAGAAGTGCTTACCATTTCAAGGGAATTAGATGTCACCTTTCCAGTGATGGGTTCTCTTGAACGGGATAGCGTTTTATAATGCTAACAACATAAAGATATATGAAGTGTTAGAGAACCCTGCCAAGCTGTTATTCCTGAAGTTGACTGTCTCGAAATTCCTGACGCTGAATAATTAGTTAGTAGTAGGCTTCGCATTGTCACGTAAAAAATTGATCGGTCTGAGAAACAACAAAATCTCTGGTGCTCCAAGCTATGGATGAGGAAGTTATGCTGATACCTTCCTCTACACCAAAAGAAAAACTAACATTATCTTAGGGCTATACCAGCTAACCGGGATGTGACGTTTGACGGCAGACCTATTTCAAATCGACCATTTCGTTTGTCCTATTAAGGCTGTGCACTGGAGGCCTTACGAAAGCACATTGCAGTAAGTGATTGTCCAGTCCGACACATAATCAACTCCCCTGGATTTTGGTGTCTGTAGGACGTTGTGAGATAGATTAACAATCGATTGTTTGGCCATCAGGATGTGCTTAGAGGGTAAGCGCAGATACTTACTATGAATACGAAGTTGGTCACTATACTGAATCAGACAGGGGTGGTGGATGCTGATATCAAGAACCCAACTGTTATTACACGGGTGACTAGAGAAGGAAAGATACTGCTGAACTGAAAGTACAATGTGCTGGCTGATGAATTAGACTCAGCGGTTCTCATTCGTACCAGTTCATGGCTTAAAATAGATATCTCCATATTCCGAAGCTTCACTGCAACGCCGAACAAGGCTATGCAGGGATCCTGGATGTCTTTATTTGTCTGAACAGTCCTCGTCTATGTTTTTTCCACTTTCCACGCTCATTCTCTCGATTGAGAGTCAGCGTTTCTGACCACGTAATAAATAGATAATAAAATAATCGTTCGGTGGCTAGCTGCCGTGCCACCAGACGGAAGCACGAGGGCCGGGATACTGCCAGGTTGCCAAAGTCTAGACAGGGTAAATCGAGAGGCAGAAGCAGAGGTCGAGTTCGAACCACGGACCTTCCAAGACAGTGAATTCGCTCCCTAACCAGTGAGTCATCTCGCCCCCTTGTGACCATGTGCGGTATCCAGACTGAACATTTCTGATCATCTGGACCTAACACTCTAGTCATAAGATTGTTTAAAACCATCTGACACCCCACGATCTGTTTTGCCCTTATTGGGGCTCATCAGATGGACACCATCCCCCAGTTTCCTTATTATCTACTTAAACCCACGGTGGGCAGGTTTCTATAGTTTCCTCACTTGCACCCAAATTAGATTTTGACAGGAGACTAAACAGAATTCAGCTGATTCTCTCGTTTGGCATAGTCCGCTTCAATGGAATGTGCTGCACCAGGCAGCGTCATGATTCACTTGGTACGATATCCGCGATACAGCAACACTTTGTTGTTTAGACGTAACACACTACTTTGAAAATTCAGTCGGATTCATTTGAGTCTCTCGTCGGAAGCAGGGTAGCGTGCAAATGAGAGAAAAGTGGTTCAGCTGTTTTGTGAAGTTTGAATGACGAAACGATTTTAATCAGTTGGAAGCGCTTGGAACCGATTGAGTAGTCATCGTTTGGGGCTTGTTCCCAAACTTTCCCAAAAATGACCACAATCTTAATTGGCTATGTAAACAGCCTTTGAGGAGAGGGGGATGTGGGGTCTTCGTAAAAGTCACAAACTTCCGATGTCCATTGCCTGAAAACTTCGTGTTAGCACTTGTTTCAAATGCGCTCAACACGTGTTTTCTGTTGTTCTTGCTGGACTAGTCCAGATTTTATTGAATTCACGCGGAAGGTGCATGCTGGGTGCAATGAAATATAATACATAATTCATGGAATAGGTGTAGTGATCAGCATCTTGAGTGACTGATGGTAGTGTGACTAGCAGCGACGATATAGAGTGTTCGACGGATGATCATGAACGATACAAGTCGACAGTACCCTCGTAATGTTCGAGAACATACAGGAGATTCTCGCGGGTGAGCGTCGGACGGCCGGAAAAATGGACCCTATATTGGACCGAAGGGATCCGTGCGCCTATCTCTCACCACAGCACCGGTTTTACGTTCCTGGACTAGGAACAGAGTGCCAGGTCCCACAGCTGTTTCGATGTTAGTCTTCCGTGCAAAAAGGCAGCCGTACTGCTTGTACGAACAGACCCCTCTCCAAACGCGTTAAGGAGTACTATTCTACGGGTTCGGCAAACTGGGTTGCCATAATATTGGGTAAGATCATTGAGTCATACCTTCGAACCTGCCTGGACTGACAATGGGGAGTCGCACTTCGGGGGCTGCGGCTACGGTGAGATGGTTTTTCGGCCACAGTTCTTTGGTGGGAGACGTCACGTCCAGATGTTGCGGTAAGTCTGACCTAGATCTCACCCCGTAATTGACCTACCCATTCTCGTTGAATTAAAAACGAAATCGATCGCGATTCCTGAGTTGCCTGACTTGTTAACTGCCACGTTTTGTCAGTGAACCTGTTATTCCTGTACGCATGTTTCTTTGTTTCGCTTTTGTTTAACAACTAATGTTGCATGACAGGTCTCGGCGAAAACAGGTGTGTTCGGTGCGTACCGTTTTTCATTATGAGTCTCTGATCAGCTTTGGAAGAACAAAATGTAAAGAGAGACCGGTATTACTTTTGTTCACATTCTGTCGTCGTTCCGCACACGTTACGATGTACCAGGCCAATCGAGGTGCGAAAAACGGTCTTTCAAACTTATCAAGAGTCTACAGAACTCACGATGAGCGAAATCCGGGAATTTGAGAAGGCAGAGGCAAGCGAAATCGAATTGCTCTCGGTCAAACTTTTGGTCAGAACCCGCTCAAAAAAGGTGGCTTGTGATTCAAGCTGGAAGACGATCTCCCGTGTCCCCAAAATTAATCAGGGATCCAGTGGGGTCTTGTGAAGAGCGGTCGGGCAAGAGCAATGTGTTGAAGGCTCATTGCTAACACTATCGTCAGACTATGTAACCATCTATCAGATGCAGCCTGGCACACAGGGGAAAGGGTTTTGTTATCGGTCACATACTGCCGGTAACCGCTGCCAGCGTTCGGCATTACAAATTGGGGCCGCCGATGAGCTCTGGCCAGAGTGGTCCCTGCTGGACAGAGGTCCTTATTCAGAATTCCCGAATTGCTTGTAAGTGTTATATGATACCACAAGAAATGGTGTTGAGTTGAAAAGTGACTTAGATGAAACACGTGCTAGCCAGGGTCGACCTTCGATCACGATTGGTTGTTCGGTCGGTTGGTTCCATTGACTATTCTGTTATCCGGTGTCCCGACTGATCGATAGCCACGTGAATTGTGGGCCTGGCCTCTGCTGTCTTTACGCTCTGATCGATGCGAAGTGACCGCTGTCGTTGACCTCTCTGGGTTCCGGCTTGTTGATCCGACCATCTATGCTACATGAGCTACCAAAATTCTCCTCTATGCCAAATTTACTGTCTATTTCAGGAGAACCGTCTACTAACTTCTCAAATTTTAAGCTAAATTACTTGTTGAAAAATGGTCGGTTTCGACTACACAATATAGGAGAATAGTCCAAGTAACCCACTATCAAATTTTTAGTATCCATCAATTTAGTTTTCATATTTTCGGGATAACTCGTAGCTCGACGTAATTTATGAGCCTCGTCGATTGATGAGCAACTGGTTTCACTTAGTTATTCGGTCATCCTCATCTAAAGCACGTTATTCTGAAGCGTGAAGCAATAGAAAAGGTTGCGAATCTTACCTCGACAACAGATGTTAACGTTGAGACAAATTACTTTTGAAGTTTTTTTTAGCCCTGACTAGTTTCCACTAAAGCAGAATCACCAGCCCTCTAAAATCCACTTTAAGATACTGCCAAACAAGGACTTTCGAAGGAGCGAAACTTCTCTCCCGGCAAAGTAAGAAACCCTTTGTAGAATATCCTAAACGAGGGATTCAGTTGAGTCTCTCGTGAGAACCAAATTGATTTGGAAGTGAGTGTATTTCTCGAAAACAGTCCAATTTTGGTTCAAGTAGAACATAAGGTTGACAGAAACTCGGGGACTGCGCCTACCTGATGAGCCCTAAGAGGGGCGAAACCGGTCGTGGGCTGTCGGAGAGTTTTCAGTAACCTTGTGAGTAGTTTCCTTTATGAAAACCCTATGTCTGTTTTCCTTGTTTGCATCAATGGTTGATCCATCACACATCGGAAACACTATGCCCAGCTTCTCTCTGATTCACTGAGACACTGTGAGAGAGACCTCGGACGAACGATTCTACCTACGATCAAATCAGTTCTGCTGATCAGACAACCACTGAGAATGTTGACCTCACCAGCGTGTGCGACCCAAACGATTCACTTGGCGTCAATTTCCCAGTTCGAAACCAAGACTACCCGTTGCAGTCAACGAGGTTGGAACTCGGTAGTTTTTTTTCCCTAACTTTGTGTTATTCCTCCAGCCAGTCAACTAACCTGACGTGGCAGGAGCCTACAGTAGTTGTAGGATTTGTAGCGTTCACATTTACATCGCTCTCGTTTGAACAGTTCCTCGCCTCTTCTGAATACTTTACTCAGGACATACCAAAGGGAAGAACACTGGGGTCGAGTTTTCCTTCCTATCTGCAGTGCATATGCCTGACCATACCGAGATTTCAAACTCTGCCAAGCGACTCGAACGTTTTTGTTTCACTAACCCACCAGCACACGCTGTGCGCAACTTAAATATCAGTTGATGTTGCCCACGCTTGGGCAATATGATTGGTTTGACGGTCACCGATTCCGGCGGTGTTAAAATCCACCACATATTTGAGCAAATAAGACGTATATATAAACCGCAAAAATATCTGCTTGTGTGATTGTTCTGGAAGCAACTCACAGTTCCAAAGTGACATCTATAGATTGTCCAACAGAAATGGTAGCGGATCCGCGCGACTTCGACACTCCGACTGTGGGAAGTTGTCAGGCACTGAACACAACCCATTACTTTGTGTTCTGATGAGTATAACCAATTTGAATTCGTGAAGTACCTTCACCAATTTTTTTACCGACTATTGGGATAGCTCTCGTTCAGTTCCCTTTGGTTTCCCTACCTTTGTGTCTTCTGCATTTATCTAAAAGTTTTGGGTGATTCCAGTATAAGTGTAACGAATGTTACAGCAGCCCGGTAGCGTGTAACAGGTATGGTTATACCTGTATAAAAGGAACCAGAGCACTTCGCAAAGTTATACACCTAATTGTGAGTAAGCCCGACCACATAGCTGTGTGACCGTCGACGTAACTCTTGTTTCAAACCACTGAAGTTAGTAGGAGACGTGATCTCAGAGCACATGCCAGTAGGTCCATGACCGCTCTTTGTATTTAAGCCTGGATAACTATGCCCAGCTCACATTTCGCATAAGCTGCATGTGTGTAAATCCATCTGTTGGCAGCTGTGCGAAATGCCTGTTTAACAGGGATATAAACTAGAGATATACACTCAGTGCGAAATGCCTGTTTAACAGGGATATAAACTAGCGAATATACACTCATTTGCAAACTCATTTGGTTTTGCGAGAGACTCACCTGGAACCCAGGTAAATCTCTCGTTTGTGATGTTCTCAGGCGGATTTTCAGCAATCTTATGAGGAGTACATTACAAAGGGATATAAACTGTTTCCGCATTGCACATTCCCGGTAAAACAATGAAATTCCAATTACTAGTCGTCAATTCACTGGTTTTGTGAGCATTTGACAGTAAGTGAACAGGGATGAGCCAACTTTCTTCCCGATCCACTGAGCGTTCTGGAACTGCGAGTGAAAATCAGTTGAAACACACAGACTAGCCATATTTAGGTTGATTTTGTGCTGAGAGCTGTTTAGATAGCTGTTAACCCCATCTAACTGTGCACTGAGGAACAGGCGTTTGAAAGTCAATTGCTAAGCTCCGCGGAAAGATCAGCAGCCACTGGATAAATTGCAAATAAGTACATCCGGGATATCAATAATCTAACACAGTGAGTTGGTGTTAAGTGCATGTTTAAAAGTGCTTCGTTCTGTTTGGTGAGAGGTGTATTTTGTTTAATGTGAAGTAGTTGGGTTGTCTCATCCTAGCTGTGTGCCTTACAGACTATTGTTTGTCTGGATCGAGGAATTAGAAGAATGAAATCAGTTTTATGTAGAGTGACCCCTTAATGGGAAGAGGAGAGAGAGGAAGAGACCTTCTGAACCTTCATAAAGCAAGAAGCCTCAAACGAGGAACTGGATTTATATTCTTAGTCTACAAACGATATTACGAAAGGTGTTTTAAGTAGTTCAGCGGGGAAACACGTATTTAACTAAACTTTGGTTTATGACGGGGTTTTTTGAATGAATTTGACGTCACGACTATGATATTCGGACCATCCCGGTTGATTGCAGTAGGTACACGTTTTTGGAAGTCGCTATATTGGTCCTTTCTCGGTCCTATGGGCGGAAGTTTGAAATGAGCGACTTCTCTGCACTCTTAGTCACTAACATTTACTGTCACGTCGAATTGACCACACGAGTTTACAATAGAGTTTGCATCAGAAAGAATATTAGTGGTATCCGACCGGCTAAGAACGCATAAATTGATTAGAGCTAAGTTGGTGACAGTGAATCCAACCTAACTGTAATCTCGCCAACCAAATCATTCATTTGTACCACTGTCTACAAACCCTTATGCAGTTTTCAGCTTTAAGATTACCAACTGAAGGTGTCGCGAACAAAAAGAGACACACCAGTTCCAAGCTATCAAGTTCGTGAACCACTGGTTCTGTGGCTGCGTTGCGCTTTTCTGAAAATCTTCTAGCAAGTTTTACACACGTTAAGGAGTTCGGAGGTGCATCAGTCTACCTCATACCCAACTGAACTGGTGGGAACTATAGGGCACAGAGCACATTCCATACCGGGTGTTCATCGCCGGTTAACTGTCAGTTTCTGCAGAATTCACCATCGTTTAACGATGATCATTTGAGCCATGCTTTGTGGTGAAATGCATAAGTCCAACCGAGACGTGTTTCACAAATGTTATCAATACTTACTATGATCTTTCTCTCTGTCCGCCCGTTCACAGCTCACCGTTAAAGCACAGAGTTTATGATAAACTGTGACTTGACGAATAACTCACCAATTGGCGACTGGTATTGAAGGTGCAACTATCGACTTGTCTCTCATCTGATTAGACAGTAGGTAATGAGAGTGCCAGGTGAGGTGTCCTTCTCTAGCGTTTCACTGTGCTAGCTGAGCACGTGACACTGTTTCTTGTGTGTGTGTGTGCGCGCTCATATGTTAGCAACATTAAAATTCACAGATCTTCAGGCCACTCTAAATTAGCGGTAATCATACTACTATTTGGAAGTAAGAGGCGTTAATTTCGATGATTGTGAGAAAGTGCACTTCGGCTACTTCTATTTCTGTAGAACATGGAATAGTTTGACGATGTTTTCCACGTGAACGCCTGGGTGTGGTAGATAGACCTAGGTTACATTTACACCAAGATAAAATCGATTGATCACCCTTGTGTGGTTGAACAGAAAGGTGGGGTTTACACGCAGTGAAGCATTTGGAAAAGAGGTCCTCGAGGAGAACAGCCAGAACGTTTTGCATGATTCACTTCATCTCACGGCTTTGCAATTTATTACTTTCAAAATCGGAACAGCAATAATTCCGAATGACATGCAGTTTAATCCGAAAAAGCACGTTCGGTGCCTTGAGACACCATAATTTCGGTAATCTGGGTGGGTGTTTTGTACCCACCTGACGAAGAAAGTGGATCTCTGATTTGGAAGGTGTTACGACCCCTGAAATCGACTAAGAAGGTTTCGATCCATTCCTGGGAACCCTTATTTCAATAAGCAAAATCATTGCATTTTTATTTGTGAACAAACAGTCCTGCTGGAATTCGTTCCTCAACTCGTATTGGTTGTCAGAATTCGAGATACTGTGATTGGCTCGGTTCTTGATTGGTTCGTTAGTGGCTTGTGTCAGGAGGCAGTTTCTTGGTTGCAGTAGCCTGATTGTTAATTTACATTACTGACTAGAGCAAATGAAACTTGCTTACCAGATGACCGTGGTGTGCATTGATCCCTAATTCGCATTCGCCAACAAATTCGTCATTCCGGTAACCAAGCGCGAAGAAAACGGTCAGTGTCCTATTGGGGGCAAGGGAAGAGAAACAATGAACACGTTGAAGATAGACGAGAATATCGTTATTCTACCAACCGACAAAAGACGGTTAAAGTTGCCCATTGACAAACTGGGCTACACCAACAAACCAAAAGCCCTGCTTAGCGACAAAAGAGTCCCACCCCCTAGAGAATGGCTGGAGTAAAATTCTTGAAGACGAAATTCAGCAAGAAACTCAAGAAACTTCAAGATCTTCGCGCGATAACAAAAGATGGACTTTGGACTATGAGGCCTCAGGGCTCAAGTAATTATTGATTCTGTGAACTTTTGAAGGCATCAGAGATGCAGTTCCTATCCGACCAATAGCATTGTTTTCGGTGACACTAACCTATGCCGAAAGGACTACGGAAAATGTTGGAAAATCTCATCAATGGATCCAAATATTCGGTTACCATTGCAGGGCGATTCTTGAAGAAATTGAAGAATATACACGTCAAACAGAACAAAATAATGGTCTCTTTTTACTATGAGCTCATTGGTTACGTCTATGGACCTTGACACCACCAAGACAGCTTCCGCGGAATTCCTGGACGGATGTGATTTATCCAGTGGAGCCCTCGAAAGAGCACTGCGAATTGATTAACCTATACCTGACTACATATTTTCAATTGGACAGTATAATCAATCACGAGGAGTGCGAATGCGGTTCTCCGGAGGACTTGCAACGCGAAACCTAGAATACCTTATATAAACTAAGGAATGTGGATTCCTTACGAGGGTGACACTTTTCATCATCGGACAGTAAAAGTTCCATAGAGCAAATCAACCACTGGACAACGTTTTCGCTGTATCTACCCGGTCACCCACATACTTGACTCGCTCACTGGATCGCGAGGCTTGTCTTTTTTCTCATACGCACAAACACGTCGCACTAAGCTGACTCATCGGACATCGATTGTCTGCACCGCCTAGTCAGCGTAGCAACTACTCATGTGCTGACGCACCCACGTACGCGCAAACGGACCTACATGCAGGGAAATCGAACACAGCCAGCACACACAGACTCGCGCGCGAGCAGGGAGCAGGAAGTCAACCCCTCTCCACAAGTCCACGGACAATTATGGAACACGTGTAGCAGTCGCACTGCGGAGAAAAACACGTTCCCGCCGTCCGGACTTTCACCAAGGGACTCTCAGGTGATATGTTCCTCTTTTAAATTGCTCCCATTTTCGCATTGTATTTATTTTTATACGTGTTGCAAACTACCACTGTCAACCACGCTAAAAACTTTTATTAGTGCTTACACCTTCTGATTTGTATTATGGCTATCATCATCTATGCACTAATACGACTTCCAAACCATGCATGCACTTAAGGAGGAAGTATCCAAACAACGGCGCTCTGACGATTTCCAAACGGTCGGTGGCAAAACGCTTGCAGAGCAGATCAACAGTCACCTGATCTAAAATCAATCGGTCCAGTTACTATCCGTTCCAATACGACCGAGTCTGTATTTAAATTTGTTGATTCAGTACTCGTTTCTATTCCTTCATTCAGAAAAGTAAAAATAAACACGCCGAGGAACTTTTTCAACCTAGCGGGGTTTAATGTCCCTACTCCGTCAGACAGGTCAACAGATATCCTGCAAACCAACGTGCACTGCTTCGGAAGTACATGCGTTCAGCTGTAGCACCCTTCCGGTGCCTAGCTGCCATGCCACACAAATGAAGTCCAAGCCTAGACAGTGGAAGTCGAGTGGCGGGGGTCGGATTGGAACCAAGGACCTTCCGGTCAGTAAATTCGCACTCTAACTACTTAGGGCCATCTCGCTCCTTCGGAAACACATACTTCAGTAATGCACCTCCGAATGGGCAAGGGCAGATCTACTCGCCCTATCTGAGTGTTGGCAACCCCATGGTCTCAGTGATGCAGTTAGTGAGTGGACAACAAGGGTTGAAGACGCACTGTTTGCCTGGGTTTCTCTGAACAGCTAACTACGTGCAGCGTGAACTTCCTGCTCAACGAGCGATCGGAGACCAGAAATACTCGTATCCGTGGGACCCGTACAACTTGGAGCAACGACATCGACAAGTACAGGGAACTATTCAGATTTCTAGAGGCGGATACCATCATTCTAACCCGTAGTCTGAAATTCCGAGTGTGAAGAATCAAAATGCATAGAAACCGTCTAGTGTGGGTACTTCCGAAATTGGTAGCAGCAGTCGCTTCATGCAACTCTGCACTTATCACCAACTGTTTGTCGAAAGCCCAAGAGTAACCACTGTGTTATCTGGGGTCCTTCCAAACAATTAAGCACTCAGATCAGTCAAATATCAGTCATCCATAGATGGCGATCTCGTGGAATACATCCAAGGACTCGGATTCCGGTTGGCCTCCGTGGTTCAGCTCAGTGAAAATATCATTCACCAGCACGATATTCGCTAGCTTCAAGCTAGTAGTCAACAAAGTCAATCAGCGGCAACTGAATGGATAACCATTGAATGTCGAACAAACTGGAGACAAGGAGGATATGTGAATTCGGTATTTGGCAAAATGCATCTCCGCAACCCCCCACAGACTGCTTGACCAGAAGTCTCAAGCATGGTGAAGTAATGTCCAAGAGATGGGAAGCTGGTGACGAGGGGAACAGATGAACTTTGTTCCGGCTCATCTGTCAAACCGAGCACAGATATATGAAGTCAGTCCAGGGAAAGATGGTTCGAAAGGTCTCATCGTCTGTTCTGGTGAGTGGAACACTTCGACAGAAAAATGGACTGACCTGAATCACCCAGTACAACGATGGGCAAATCATCAGCCTCATAGTAGAATACAAACTGGTAAATTCCAGCGGAGACTGAAGTCAAAAAGCGAAAGTAAAGCTTTAAAGAGAAACAAAGCAGCCCATCCAGCTGTCTTGTTAGTTGACAGAAGGGTTCGCTCGAGTTTGAGAAAACTCGTACCGAGGATTTGGAAGGCAAAAGAGGTAGCATGGAAATGATAGACACTACCGATCATGTCTTTAAAAAGAGGACTAAGTGTGCATTTGAGAGTCAGTCCGATCTCCACCGCTCCCAAAATTTTGACTAGTATCACGCACCAGAACTCGCGAGAAGCGAAGTCATGAAGACTGAGCAGGGTTTCATCCAGGTCCTGGATGCATTGGTTCCACCCTTACTTTAAGACAGCTTCTCTCGTACCGCCACACATACACAAAGACTTACATTCAGCGTTTCACTTGGCCAACGGTGCTGCTTTGTGTCTATGTCACTGCTTCAAAAGTATTCCGAAGACTCACCTGTTCTTACGCACGAACACTGGCGAGTATCTGACTGAATTCAACAGAACCGGTGTTCATCAGCACTACAATTTATCACCTTTCCCCCTCAATTTCGTAACTGGAGTGATTGCCGAACAAACGCTCGCTGTCCTTACTTCCCGGGGAAGACTATAGTGCCCAGAGTATGCAGGCAATATCCAGCTACGTGGTTCACATTCAATCCGCACATAATGCGAACAACGTCACCAAGCGGTCCGGTATGCGTTTTTCACAAGGTACTACTGCAGGACTAGGTGAGGAGACCATAAAAACCTGAAACTGGCATAGAGACTTTTTCATCCGGATAGCTGGTTTGCATCGGACAACAGCGTTGCAAATACCATAATTTCTAGAGCGCATGATACCTCCCTCCAATGTGTCTACCTCTGCGATCGGAGTGAGACTATCCGGTGGGTGACCGATGCGTCCTAGCTTGTATCAAGACTAGTACGTCTGATCCAAAGAAAAAAACTGGTTTGCATCTGACCATCGAAACGATGCATCGAATGAGCAGTGCGTGAAGGATGAGGGGAATGTTGTTGGCCACAAATCAGCCGTTTTTTTCAGTCGACGAATTTACTCGATTGTGCCAACTACGCTGGCTAGGCCGACTGTGCTGTTGTAGTATACGGTGTCTGTCAGTGTGATTGATTTATGTGTAAGTATTGGTGATGTACAACCTTGCTTACTGGGCTTTGGCTCACGAGCTTTGTTTCTGTTTTCCATCCACAGAAATTGTCGTAAACACCTGCCTTCGGAGAATCACTGTCCATTGGTGCTTCCATAGCGTGCATATTACATAATTGGCGACCACGCCAGGATGGTTGTCACACACTGGTAGAACTACCACAGAGACCCTGGCTCTACATATGTGCATACAGGCCTCAGAGCTAGCACGTTGCTCACTCACACACGGTAGACGCAGCCCCAATTACAGCAATCTCTGCACACGCTCTCCAGCTTAACGCACCACACCACTAACACCGGCCGGTTCACGTAGGCCATGGTACACGGGGACGGTGTTCTTCAAAAAGGAGGCCAGTGCAGTATACGGTGTCTGTCAGTTTGATTGATTTATGTGTAAGTATTGGTGATGTACAACCTTGCTTACTGGGCTTTGGCTCACGAGCTTTGTTTCTGTTTTCCATCCACAGAAATTGTCGTAAACACCTGCCTTCGGAGAATCACTGTCCCCTGGTGCTTCCATAGCGTGCATATTACACTGTATGCCAGGTGGTCGATTGCCTCACCGTACTGTTTGCTTGGGCAGCTTCCGACTGAAAGATACCGCAAGATGGACAATGTAAGACGCAACGGAGAGTTGTGTGAAGAACAATAAAAGAGCCTTAGACATGATACATGTCTGCGAGACTGGGGCGCCAGAGGCCCACTAAATCAAAGTTTGGATGGCGGTGTCCAGCAACCAGTGGCACTGTTCACTCCATTCTCATTTTCTACCATTAATCCACTATTTTTGTCATTTATTTTCCGAAACCACCGCAGCAGCAAGTTGCAGAACGACCAGGGTTCGCGCGTCGCCAATTTGTTGTATCTCAGTGCTGTTCCCGCTGCAGTGCCTGGTGCCGGAAAAAGGCTCGCCGATAAGGGACAAAACAGCTTTATTGCGAACGAGCGAGTGCGTGGGAGTGAAAATACAATGGCCTCAAGCTATTTTATTGGAGGGACAGTCTGACCTTGATACAATGCTGTCGCGCGCTGTATACTGGGGGGGGGGCGCTAGCTGACCTTGACCCAACGCTGACTCACGCTGTCTGGCTTTGATACGTGACGTGCTGCAATCACATTTGGTTTACAAACCACACCGAGCGCATTCCGCAACATTCATCAAATCTCATTGGACCATGCCTGTGTGCGCGTCATTCGGAAAAGGTGTGAGGCACTAGCATTGACATATGCTGGAAATCAAACAATATATAGGAGACTGCTCTTTCGAGCTGTGACTATCGATTGACTCCACAAGAACGAATGGTCGGAAAGATCACGGGCCGACTGCATTGGACAGATTTCAACAAACATTTTGACACTTTTTCATTACACGTACTTGTGAGTGACGATTTCTCTAAAAGACCGGAGACGCGGCCTATGCATTAGATAGGGCATTGTATTTCGCATTTGAAACCAACGTACACTGTGTGGTGGTTTCACCCTTGTTCGCAGCTCGTAACCCCCCAAGAGAACTGGAGACAGACACTATTAAGGGAAGAACCTGGCATTCAGCCATGGGTAATCGATCAAACAAGATACAGCGTCATCCACTTGATTTTTGAATCCCTCTGGAGCTTTGCACCGCCAATAGTTCTCAAGGATGAAACAACTGCACAGTGCGTCAGAACACAGACTTCAAGTGCAGGAAAAAAACCCAGGTCTGGAGATTCAAAATCTCCTCATGTGCTCCCAAAACGCGCTTTTGCTGTTTTGCGTCTGCTGTATGAGCCAGTGACTAAGCTGCACGCTACAACGCCATGTGACATCTAAGCGGCTATATTGCCTCCCTGCGGCATACACTAGAGTTTTGTCTAAATTCGCTGGTGCGACGATATGCTTATCTGTACAGTGAAAAGCCGAGAAGAGATCAATAAGGGAACCAGAATTGAAAACTTTGGCACACGGCAAGCGAGGCTTGTCACGATAACCGTTTGAAGTCAAATGGCATTTTCGTTGAACACTCGGTTGCAAGTAATTTGGTGTCGGCGAAGAGTCAGTTGGATCCTTCGTTTGTATCACCCTTTAACCGAACGTGCTACGAAAAAGCCGCCCAACGGTTTTGTTGGGACGACGTTCAGGATATCGATTTGTGGTTCAATGCCAAGTATAAAATCACTGAAGGCTTTGAACAGCCCACTACCGATTTCGCCTACCTTGAGTTTCAGCAGGGAGGTCTAATCTCTAAAGCCCCATCAGTTTTATCTCCTAGTTGAACAAGAAATTCTACGTACGTCGCGATAAGTACACATTTGCAATCGGAGGGGATGTCGGATTGATGAAAGAGTTAGCTGAAGTTCACGTTGCAAAGAAGCCACACAATGTGTGAGTTTGAACGATCTTGCATATTATGAATTGAAATCCGACTTTATACGGATAAGTAAGTGCCAAACCACTGACTGGTGCCATGAAAGGGGTGCTTACTTACTCGATACACGAGTCAATTGAGGACTATCGTGAACGAGAGATTCAGGTGGATGGCGACGGCTTTGATTGCAACTTAGGCAGGTGTTAGCGGGCGACACAAAGTCCCCGGGAACAAGTTAAAGAGACGGGGTTGTGTGCTAAAATGTATGTCCGTACTGAAAACATTGGTTAATATGACAGTAGTTATGGACTGGAACGGGGGACAACGTAGTCAGCAAGATTATGCGCGATAAAGATGGTGAGTTGGTTAGTAGTGGAGAATTTGAAAGAATACATCGGCACGAACCACACATGAAGACACGGAACAGATCGTGAAAAGAGAACACGGTTATGGCACATTGGCGCTCAACATGAGAAAAACATCAGTATTTGAAATAAATTAGAGTATCACAGGCTTTTTGGCTTCAAGTGATCAAACAACAGAAGAGGAAAGTTCGCAGGTTCGGTCTCCCAGTTCTCGACGGAGCAGCCTGTAAACTCGCCTGAATGCGTTGAACTCGGGTCTATCCTTGGTCGCCTCAAACGAGGGACGACCATCCTGTTCGTCTGAATCTTCACAAAGCGACTGGAACATGCGCAGAAAAATCGCACGATCTCGAGAGCGTTCTACCGAAGGCAAGGGACGCAAAAGACCGGAAAGAACGAAATGCATAGCTGACAGACATAAGAGATCGGACATCAGAGGAGGAGAAGAATGTTTACTAAGAGTCGTCATGCTGGAGGCGTTGGTAGGTTGACCGAATAGTGAGGAATGAACTCCCATATCCATTGAATAGAGGCATAGACTGAGTGGCAGCATCGAGTTAAGGATACGTATGAGTAATCTATGTATACATTCGTATGTATGTGTTTATGTATGGGTCACATATGCACTCTCTAAAAATCAATAAACATGCATTACCGGGAGTGGTAAGCAGACCTGATACTCTTGGCTCTGGATGAGTGCAGGTCTGGAGTACATCACGACTAGGCCATAGGAAGTATAATTTTCACTCATTTCCGGTCAAAGTATGAAGCTAAACTGAGTAAAAAGAACCAGATCGTGTCCACTAAATTTCACACCAATTACATGCCGCTTGGACCACCGGGAGCCGCATGAAGCTCCGCCCGGGAAAAAGATATGACATAGCACGTATCTGACTACAGTTTTAATAAACCACGTTATTATCGAAAAGGATACGCCCTACGCAGAGCCGGGTGAGTAGAGGCGGAGAGCAGACAGACGGTTGTTGCCCAGACAGCCAGTTGGGGTGGCTCTCGGCCCAGTAGAGTTGGAAGCGCCAGAAGGACCCATTGACGGATCAGGGCCTGGCCCTCTTCGTTGTCCAGAAATCGCCCAAATAACTGAAAAGTAGAAGAGAGCGAGATAAAGCAAATGCACGATGGGTTCTGACAACCTAAGTGTCCTATTGTATACTTGAATTCGTACTGTTGTGCTTCAGTTCAACATTTCAATGCCAAGGACGGTTGATGACATGAATTGCTAGTTCACTGGCAGCGTGACCACCATATAAGCACTACTAGGAAGAGAAACATGGACAGAAAAGGATTTCATCGGAAGCGTAATAGTGCATAGGTGCATGTCACAGATGTGTCCTACCTGAGCAAGAGTTTGAGCAGCCAGCTGTGGATTAGCATGATCCAAACGAGCGAATTCTCCCAGAGCTTTGTTCAATACGGGATCCGAAATGTGCTCATCTCTTTGTTTCTCATAGTCCGAATCTTGGTTGCTGGTGGGGTAAGAAACCGATAGGGCTTGGATAATATCCATACTTGTTGAGGGAAGGAGGTCCGCTACGACAGTGGCTTCCACGGCCGAGGTCCACGCACTGGATACCCAAGTTGAACTAGTATTACTTGAGGGTGAGGCCGGTACAGGAGCGATTCCACCCCGAAGTCGTTCCCACAAGCAGCTAAGGAATTCTTGTGTCATACCGGCAGCAGCTTCGGAGTCCAATAGCACCGAAGGAGGTAACGTAAGTGACTTGCGTGTCAGGGGGATATCATCCGAAGTTGCTATCAATGCAGGGTTTGGACAGATAAAGTAATGTGTCTCTCTCTGTGTGTGTACAGAAAACAAGTCAATTCTTTCAGAAGAAGTTCTGAAAACAATCGAGGGGTCCACTTTTGGCACAATAAAATGACTCATCAAACCGAGGAATCAGAGTTAGGTTGAACAAGTTTTGGAGCCAATAGAGGAAACATTGAGCGGAATTTTTGTTTACACTCAGGAGAGCCTGAAGATGAGGTATTTGGCGTTGGCCACAGGTTTTTTGGGTCTGTTTTGATTGTAAAGATAGATGGGTTTGATGGAGAGTTGCACGAATCTCACGTGGGTTCTGTCATAATTTTTCGGACAAAAAACACTAATTCTTCCTGTATGGTAATTCTTACGCGTTTTCTTGTAAATCAACATTAATTCATCTTGATTTAATCACTTTTGCTAGTAACTGAACGCAAACTCAGCGTTTTCCTACCAATTAGTGTGCACATCATCATAACATTGAATAAAAAAATAATTGTTCAGCTGAAACATCCTTTCAACGCCCAGCTGTCACATGACCCGAGGGAAGCATGAGAGCTGAGATACTCTCAGGTCGCCCAAGCCTGGACAGGACCAGTCCAGATAGGACCTTTCGTTTAGTAAGTTAGTACCTTTAACTAGTGAACTATCATAACAACAAGTTAAGAACAACCACGTCTGACAATTTCCGACGAAAAAAGTATCCAACACAGCTGTGCGGGCAAAGCATTCTTCAGGTGCCATGTTAACAGGAAAGGGTCTTATTCAAGACCATCCACTGAAATATTGAACACCGGCGGATCAAAGAATGAAACTCATCTTACTCTGACCGTCAAAGAGTTTCCCTCCTGTTCATATGCCCAGTACAAATGGTACATAGCTTATGTGAGATGGCTCAATGGTTAGAGCGCGAATTTACTGTTCGGAAGGTTCGTGGTTTGAACCCGACCTCTGCCTCTCGACTTCCCGTGTCTAGGCTTAGGCAACCTGGTAGTATCCCAATCCTCGTGCTTCCTTCTGCTGGCACGGCAGTTAGCCACCGAAAGGGTGCTTATGAGTAGGTCTGTCAGTGAGATGTAGTACAACAATAACCCAAGCATCAAGCCTGTGACACGAGCGGAGAATGATTCAGAAGATAGGTCCAGCCAACTTGCTGGAAACAACCACTCGTTGGTGAACCTGGAGCACGAAACACTAATTGTTGAATCAAATCTTTGCTACAAAAGAAATCGAACGGTAAATTCCTAGAAGGTGATCACTTCTTCTGATAAGGCTTAGAAATCAGCCGAGAGAGAGAGAGAGAGACAAAGTCAGACGGATTTCTCAACCATCCAACTCTGAACACAACGGATGCGACAAGCTGAAACCAGAAGTCGTTTCAAGTCGTGACACAATAGTTGTAAAAACCTACGTACTAAATGGTATGCCCTTAGTTCACACTCTGGATAACCGTTCAGCTGTGGCGTCCTTTCCGTGCCTGGCTGCTATGCCACCAGAAGGAAGCACGAGGGCTGGAATACTGCCAGGTTGCCAGGACAGGGGAATTCAAGAGACAGAAATCGGGTTCAAACCATTTCACCCCACTCTGGCTAACTGAAAACAGGGATGTCGGGGCATATGATACGTGAAGGTTTTATGTCCAGTATGAGCACAATGCCTCCAGTTGATCTAGTTCTGGCGAACAGGTTCACACAAGGAGTCTGATTGGGAAACCTGACCCAGCAGACAACACGGAACCATGCTGCACGAAACTCTACGATCGTGTACGTCGGAGGGCGTCAAATTGATTGGATCCGGATTCACGTGTAATTAGCAGCCAAGAACATTAACAAACAATCCGTAACAGTTAATCTGTAAGAGACGGTGGCAACCCAAGGAAACAAGCCAAATTGAGGACGGCGGCGGTTGACCCTCTGGCGAATCCATTACGACGCCTTCTCCAAGTTCTACGCCTTCGTTGTAAGTGATGTTCATCTGCTGCTGCAAAGGGGCTGAACCTCATCGTGGTATGGCGGTTTGTGTCCATCTATAACCCACTGAGCCGTATTTGATGATCTCACCGGAATGCGCCGAATTTCGCACGCCACGTTGATCAATGCGTACAGGTCTGAAAAACACCGTCCCCTGGTTGGGACTCCAAACATGTGTGGTCACTTGCTCCTTAAAAATGTAGGCCACTCTAACGGTCTGACGCCTACCACTACCTTGCGGTACAACTTTTGATCCAAAGGCTTTGGCTAAGAACACTAATAGCCTTCCTGTCTAGGTGTGGGCACCCTAGAAATACTATTATAAAAAAAAACGATCATCGAGTAGTGCCATTAGCTGCAAGTTCAGGAACTACGATCAACCATCATGCATCAGGCTCAACTGAAGCTTCCGCGCATCGATGTTCACTACCAGGCCTAAACGCTGAAAGCTGCCTTCAATGTTCAAACACGGAACCAAGCAGCATAACAAACGGTTCTTGCACGTACGGTGGATCTCCTCTGCGCCGGTATCTGTGACCTGTTATAAACAGGATGCAAGTACTGCATTTGAACCGACGGCTCGCTCGCTATCTACCCGCCAACAACTGGTGACGCGGAGGCCGCAGTAGATGGATATAATTGGGTGAGTATTGTGTTAAGTCCCGACTGACTGGCTAGTCGCTGATAGTCACCTCTGTTTGGCAATGTTTGTGAAAGTATCTCGGCAAATAGAGATTGATTGCTCCCGGCGGACTGTAGCTCCGGATTTGTCAGATTGATTCTACGGTGCTCTACGTGCTTTTTTGCAGCGTGCTAAGAGCTCAGAAATCGTTGTAGTCGCTCAGCTGGGAAAGTTCAGCACTGCATGGGATCAACTAGGTGATCGTCTAGGATTGGACGCACGCAAAACGAGCCTGATCACAGATTGTTTCTCTGCATTACCAAGTTCCAAAATAGGGAAAATAGTTTGACTACGCGGGGCTCACAAAGAGTCCTGAAAACAAATAGGATATAATGCCATCAGTCACCTAGGATGAGGGTCGACCACTGCTTGCCACTGGAATACCTATGTGGGCCTCGACCATGCTCCTGTCCGTTGGTGTTCTTCAGATCGGGCAAAATACGCCAACGCCGTGTTTTGCATGGACCCCAAAATTAAGGGATGCATCAAAAACTCTTCTGCCTCGACCATGCTCCTGTCCGTTGGTGTTCTTCAGATCGGGCAAAATACGCCAACGCCGTGTTTTGCATGGACCCCAAAATTAAGGGATGCATCAAAACACTCTTCTTTGATGCCTGCTTGCTGATACAATACAGGAATGTTAAACAGCAATGAAGTAAGATATCCAAAGCTGTACTTGATGTCGGGACTTCTGCCACTGTACGATCCAGTTGGCCTTTTCCAGCAATGGATCTCTGAAAGGATCATGGCTTCGCTGGATGTCCAGCAGCAGCATTCGGTCACCTGCCACTTACATTGCGGATTGTCGGCCTTTGATGGAAACGTGAACTGTGAATTAGGAGCTCACTTCAACCTCAGAGGTATCTGCGCACTTTCCCACTCAAGCGCCATCGTTCTCTTGGTTCTAACGGCCCACCAACTGTTCCGTTCAAGGACGTTGGTGAATTCGCGGTCTAGCACACTTCAATCTATGTGAAAGAAAGATAACGTCCTAGACAACTGCGGTCAGACATCTTCAAAAACGTACAGACCATGCGTTGAATCCAACTTGACCTTACGATAAGTCCTCCATTCCTCCGCATGTGTACTTTTGATCTCCAGTTGTTTTGCTTATGCGTACCAACTCACTCACCTTGCCGCAGAGACCGTCCCATCCGACACTAGTATATTAGCACGCATGTGAATGTGCGCAGCTGACCTACTCACCAACGCGAGTTTGTGTCCCGTTTGCTTGCTTTGACTTGTTTTCTCATGGGTTCCGTGCGATCGCACGGCCGATCAGAATCATGAGACAGTCGTCGAGAGGGACGACCGCAACCCACAGTGCTGAGCGATGATTTCGCTCGCCGTTGTTTGCGGACGTAGAATTTCAAACCCAATTCTTCCTTTTGATATTCGGGATTGTCGAGCCTACGCGTCACTCGAAGTTCCGCATCGACAACCACAACACCGTGGGTGTAAAAAAATCGTCGTTCAGCTGTAGCACCCTTTCCGTGCCTAACTGCCATGCCACCCGAAGGTTGCACGAGGGCTGGGATACTGCCAGGTTGCCCAAGCCTAGACAAGGGAAGTCGAGTGGCAGAGGTCGGGTTCGAACCACAGACCTTCCGGTCAGTAAATTCGCGCTCCAACCACTTAAGCCATCTCGCCCCGTGGATGTACCAAACACAAAAGTGTCACTTTGTCTTTTGTCGTGACAAGACTTGCAAATGTATGACAGCGACGTTTGTGCTGTCAGTTTCCAGCTTGTCTGATTGAGTACGAGAACTGTAGAATACATGAGTTCAGCACCAGGCCCTTCCTCAGGCAGTCTACTTTTTTCAGCTTCAAGGATTTTAGGCATCTGTGTCAGCACTGACGCTTCGGCATCTGATGGTGATAACGTTCATTTGAGGTTACCGACCTTGAGATGTTATCATCGTTGGGCCCTATAAAACAATCCACAAAAGACTAGCTAACCGAACCAGAACTCACTATGCCATGATAGCGAGATGGCGTCTTTTGCTCACGATACTTCAAAGCAATTGGCTCATTCATAGCCAAGCCATAAATCAACTTGGCCCCAAGACCGAAAGGTACGTGTATTCGGGCACGACGACAGACCAAAGATTTGACTCACTCGAATACATCATGCTCGATTCAGTGTCGCCCAGAGGAACTGTTCCCATGAGGGAGGATTCACGTCGGTACTGCTTGAGCTGATGGTTCAATCGTCCTGCATTTGAGTACATGCATGTGACAAGAAGGCGAAGTACGGGAAGGCTGACGAGTGGAGAACGACATGCTCGGAGACGACTGACACACAACTTTTGAAGACTCTGAAAAGCCGATGAGAATGATGCGGGAATCAAGACACTACGTATAGACTATTCGGTTATGCAGGATAGATAGTGAAAATATATCGCGGCAAACCTATCGGAGGACCTATTAGAGAGAGACGTGTGATGACGGAGACGAAGCGGGAATCAAGACACTACGTATAGACTATTCGGTTATGCAGGATAGATAGTGAAAATATATCGCGGCAAACCTATCGGAGGACCTATTAGAGAGAGACGTGTGATGAGCGGAGACGAACACACACACACACACGACTCGTTAAGATGTGTACATGCACCTATTAGAGAGAGACGTGTGATGAGCGGAGACGAACACACACACACACGACTGGTTAAGATGTGTACATGCACCACATGCACCACCACATGTAAATTTCTGGTAGTTTGGCTTGATTTACCAATTCACTGGGGTCCTTCGCGAACTTGTCACCCAGCGTATTTTTATATTTGGAGTTTGGGGCGTAACCGGATGTACCCATTGCATGCTTCGTCCCATCTATTCTCTTGGGCGATTTCGAATTATGCTGCCTTGATGTGCTTTACCACTTGAAATCGTGTCGCAGCAGTACACCTAGTGCCAAACATGCTCACCTGTCTTGTCTTGTCCGCTGATCCTCCGAGCAGTGGCTAATAAGTGAGTGGGTAGCTACACGCCTTTCGATGAACCGGTGTTCATGATCTGCCGGTTCAACCGACTCAGTTTAGTAGCGAAGTACTCCACTACAAACCGAAAGATCGCGACTTCGAATCCTTCCAGAGCTCTGTGCATCCTGTTGATGGTCTTCAACAAGGACGAAACAGCTAAACATTATTTCTCTGCTTTTCAACATCAGTTGTAGGATGAAACTTATGGTGAAATTCCAAGCCATCGAAGAGTTTCCAGTAACCCGAGTAGTTTCTTATGTCAAGAAAATACACTGTGAGATAAGGAATATCGTGCCAACCGCAACATAAGGTGGCGTTCGTACAGCGCATCCAGTTTCAGAATATCATTGACGACGGATTCACCTGAGTCTCTCGTGAACAACAATGTAATTTATGAAGAGTACGTTTCGCCAGTGGTTTTGTTACAACTTGAATAATTTCAGGGCGGCTTGTTGTGACGTTAGTACGGAAGCATTGGATGAAGAGTACGTTTCGCCAGTGGTTTTGTTACAACTTGAATAATTTCAGGGCGGCTTGTTGTGACGTTAATACGGCAGTGAAGCATTGGTGTTGAACACTGATGTCATGCTGTAGATGATGATTGTGATGATGCGTTAATGCGAAAAGTCCACAGATACCTTAAAAAGCCAGCTGTTAGCCTGAGTCGATCATCAGACTTGAGTGCCTCGATCTTTAACTTTACTTCTTGCCTTATGCTAGCTTGTCCTTCGTGAGCACTCGGCTGTTGTCCTATCAAATAAGTGCACACAATGTTAATGACTTCCACCCCCGAAGTAGTTCGAACGATTTCACACAGCACAAAGCGATACTATTCCCGGACTTGGCGATACAATCGCAAGATTTTGGTGTACACTGTGTCGATTTTGGCATCTAGCTGAATGATAGGGTGCAGTTGGCCGAGGCGAGGAGATAGGACACAGTAAACGAACTGCACGATGGAGGTGTAGTGGCTACCCTCCTGTCTACTTACCCTTGGAACTAATTTAATTAGCACATCCACATGGACTGTCTATTATCTTGTTTACCCCACAACTACGAGCATCATCTACCATTTCATCAGCACCTACTTCTCTCCTTTGATAAGGGGAAAATATTTGTAGAGGTCACTCATCAGATCACGCGTCACAAACACTCAAACCACGTGACAGTTCCTGTCCCACTTGCAACCTTAGCCGACATGACAATGAAACTTCTCAACCATTTTCGTTTACGCGGCTACTACTTGCGTCACGCACCAGGACTACGAACTTCATCCAACACATCAGGTCAAGTTGTATTCATGTTCGTGCAAGTAGCAAACACGAAGGGACACCCCCCTCTTCACAGTGCACACAATAAATAGGCATACAACTAGGCTCAACACACACACACACACTCGCGCGCACAGGACAGGAAGACAACCGAGCTCCGCAAGTCCCCACGGACAACTACGGAACACGTGTAGCAGCTATCGGAACTTCACTCAGGAACTCTCAACAAGTGTCCTCAAACGATAAGTCACTTTTTTTTTGGCTTATTCCACTTTTCTCATTGTATCTATTTTTATCAAGTGCACCTAACTATTGTACTCATCAGATTCTAGTAAGACAGACATTTGCTAGTGCTTGTTACATTCTGATAATCAACTTAATTACGTCACAACTAGAGCACTAAAAGAGGTACTGCCATGTTTTGAGGCTCGCAGTTTAAAAGTGCACTCTTCCTGGTGCAAAATTGTCATAAGATGCCATCAGAGAAAGAATCAAATAAAGTAAACGGTCAGCTAAATGTCCGATTCTACGTGGGGGCGAGCAAGTTGCTTTCACATGCATTCCACGACTGTGTAACAATCGTTGTTATTTGGGAACCAAAGAATATGCTTTGTGAATGATTCGCAGAGAGAGCAGTTCCGTAGTTAGATGTGGCAAAACAACCCGAAAGAGTATTCACAAAGGGAACTAACCTCTGTAGCACCTTTTCCAAGCCTTCCCATCATAACCAAACGCCCGATTCCTCGACACCAAGCTGTGTGGACTAAGAGTGAACAGCACAAATGAGCCGTGGTTCCCGTTGCGAGAGCGGCGTGGGGCTGGAGGAGAAATGGTGAAGGCACTTGTGAGTCGGAGATACTGAACAGTCTAACTATTTACTATGCACGAATGAATTCGCTTGCTTACCGTGTGGAGACTTCCCGTGCGTAATAATGTGGCGGGTACACTGTCCGATAACATGAAAGAACCGAGACGGAACAGGTTGGATGTAAGACCCGACAGCATTTCCGTCAAACCCGATCCAAAATCCGTAAGCACTGGATGAACAGGCGGTGCAGAAAAGTTCTCTGCCAGGAAGAACGCTGCGGCTAGGATGGTCAGTTGATGTCGCTCCACTCGTTCCGTTTGAAATGAATTACCGTTGGAGGTGCTGACCGAGAATGTGGTAGCATCTGGAAGTCATTTAGCAGCAGAAATAAGACGGTATTTCACAGAGCGAAAAACCTTCGTGGACAAAGTAACAACCTATGAACAGTTTCCTCTCGGATCGCACTTAAGGGACTGGAAGAATTGTTTGACAGAGTGGAAGGAGGTCAGAGGTGTGATTGTGAATAATACGTGTGGTTGTTTATGAGATAGGTAGGCCAGAAGTCACATGATTCAGATGAATCCAATTCCCGGCTGTGCTATCCAAATGGTCGAATAAATGGACTGACACTTGAATGTCGAAAACTGATGTTATACTCGCTCGAAAGCTGGGTGTGAAATTGGTACGGATCGCCAAAATGTGCAGGTATAGGTGATATACAGAGTTTGTTCGACGGTGCACATCTAGATTCTGCTCGACCGCGACACGAACCACTGTACTTGTAGGGAGGGTTTAACGTTGAAAATGATATGCACATTCACACAGCTACGTGGGCCAGCAACGTAGCGGGGAATGCGGTCCCCCCCCCCCAAAAAAAAAAAGCCGTGACCAGGGTGCCAGTCTGCCGTACAATCAGGTTACATCCGTACTCTCAATGTATGCCATATCAATTGGTGTGGAGAGCCGAAGAACCTCTGACCAACGCTTTTTACCATCTCAGCTTGGATCTTAATGTGGAGAAGTTTACAGTATAGAGATGACCCGAGATTCCTCGCTAACGCACAGATCACAAGGGGAGACTGCCTCAAACAGAAAAGGTTAACATTCTGACCATCAGTTCTAACGCATAGCAGTTCTTTTTATATTCGCGCCCTCAGAATGACAAAAGGGAGCATTCCAATTGTTGGTAATTGTCTTTGACGCGCTCTAGAGAGGTCTGAACCGTGCACCTCAGTAAGTTTGGCCCAACCTGGTGTGCGCCAGGACAGTATGAACATCTGAGCTTTCCAGAACCGTAGCTGATTTACCCTACTAATTCTACATTCTGGTTTCCGTATTCTGAGCGAAGACTCATTTGGCAGGTTGTATTGTCAGCTACCCCATTTGAAGTGGCTAGTCTGTTCGAGAACAGAAACAGAATTTATACGGAACAACGTGTGAACACGAGCTAACTCGTATTGTGGAACGATCATACACATTGATGCGGACGAGCAGTACTAAAAAAACTGCCACTTCAAGGTGGTGTCAGGGAAAAAAATCTTGAGTCTAGATCAGATCGAATGAGACGCGCCCGATCAGCGAGGCCCAAAATGGACCAATGACCATAAGGCGCCTCTACATTAAAGTACACGGGCGAAAAAAGTCAAATTGAAATTGCACCGTCAAAACGAGACTAAACCCGATCAGATCATGCTTCTGTATTAGGAGTACAAAAAACTAAACTGTGTGTGTTTCAACAAAGGTTTAGCATTTCCCAACCTAGTAAATTTATTGGAACGTGGTAGCTGGACAAACAAATAGCCGCCCGATAAACTCTGTAAGTTGGTGTCGTTTTAAGTCGATCTCACCTAAGCAGACGTGTGCAATCAACTGAGAGATATCTCGCAAAACGTCAAATAAATAAAACTGACAGCGTTAGCTCTGTAACAGAGTGATTATCAACGGGTGATGTCATCTGTACTTGGATTCTCAGTGAACGGTAATGAAATAATTTTGTCAAGATTGATGAAGGCAACTCACCGAATGGCTTCACGTGACTGGCTGCACCGATTAGTCCGGTTTTGGAACCAGCTGATACGCCAAACATGCCGGTCATGAAGCGTTTCAATCCAGATGCCCCGGCTGTTTTGTCCGGCTCAGCAACCGGGCGATCTGTCCGACTGGTCTTGAGCGAATCCACTGCGGAAGAATCAGTGTATTCTGCTACAGATGACCGGATAGAACACAGAGGACCAAAGAGCGCGTCCAGTTTCCGTTCCAAATAGCTACAGAGCTGAAACAACATAAATAATAAAACTAGTTCAGAAAACAAAACCATTTTAGAAGTGTAAAATCGAGACACTGTAACAGGACAGGACCTTCATTCACACAATGGGTACCGTAGGAAATGTTTAGACATGAGCGGTCGAGAGGTTAATTCTGAACTACTGATCTTCTGGCAGTAACTTCGCTCCTCAACTTCTGAGCTAGGGCAAAGATGCGAGCGACAACGGATGATTACGTATCACACCATTATTTCATTTTCAGGCTATTGCTCTATCCAACCATTCCGGGACAACAATGGCTAGTTCATACAGAATATACAAATGGATCGCCACACGGACAGGAAATGGTGCTGCGGGTGAGAAAGTAGCGGCCCAGATAGGCGAAGAAGTACCTACCTGTGAGTATAACTCATTCAGTACGGGAGATCCCGTCGGTGGACTGTGCTGTTGCAACTGACTCTGATGTGGCTGCGATCGTACCAGAAGGGCTGCGTGCAGCAGCCACATAGCCGCCTGAAGACCTGCATTTTGCAGGGTGATTTGGTTGGACTGAAGAGCCATGAGGGTCTGACGCACCGCTAGATCCAATGAACCAGGCTGCAAGAGTTCCACATTTTCGGGACCACTAGCGGCCACCTCCAACACCGCGGAACTTTTGGCCAAACCAATTGTCAACCATTGTTGAATGGGAGCAGGGAAATCGCTGAGTGATGGAAGCTTGCCAACAACTGAAAGCAATGGGCGAAATCAGACAACCTATTAGCTAAAGAAACAACGATATGACAAAAGCGTACAAAGTGGATGTAATGCGGACTCACACTCGCTGAGATATCCTTGTAGCCATTCAAACTGCTCTCTAGTTGTGAACAGATCAGAGAGAAGTACAACCGATCGCACAAGAGCACTGGAAACTGCCAAAGCAGGATAACCCGGTTTGGCAGTTTGCCCAGTGCTGCCTCGTTTCGCCTGAATCGGATCCGATCGTACAGATGTTTGAACAGCTGAAACTGCACCCACCATTGTCCCAGGATCACTAGAAGCCGAAATATGTGATCCGGACACTGTTTGCTCGGAACCACTTTGTGAGCCTGTCGACTGCGTGGCATTTGCGGGTCGCAGCCAAGACTGAAACAGTAGTTGACTGGACTGCAGACAGGAGAATAGCACTTCATCGTAGTCCGTAACGACTCGACCTTCACAGCTAACTCCCCATAGCCGAGGTACGACGACTAAAAAGAGAACGGTTAGAAAAGGAGTCAAACATGAGAATCAATCATGGACACCCTCTAACTTAAAAGCAAAAAGAGTGCTCTTCTTTAAAGAAACACCTCTCCGGGAAAGGGGGACATCAAACTCCGGAGTCTCATACCCGCGCCTTCCTGGCTAGTAGTTTGAACACTTAACCATTCGGCCACGAGTGGCTCATCAGCAGTGTGATTAACTCGCACTTGGACAGGATATAGCGCCGCTCATCCTTCAATCACGGGATCCACATCACGCGGTCACACGTGTTGACTGGCTCCTCGAGCAACGACTTCTCAGATAGAAGTTTCACTCATCGGGTGAAGTTTATTCTTCCACTGAGCTACCTATATATTGTGGGTAGTGTGAGGAGATTTGGGATATTTTGTGTGGGATTTCGTCCTGTAAGTGAAGCCAATCTATGCTGAAAAGCCGAGAAGCACTGTGCTTCTCGGCTTTTCAGCATAGATTGGCTTCACTTACAGGACGAAATCTCTACAGAAAATGAAAACGATCAAGGTCGGACTGGGTGCTGTGACGTCTTTGGTCTATCTGGTGATTCGCTTTGCACGCGGTCGCAAACGGTGCCGAATGAATCCTGCTGACGGCATTTTAATGCGACAGGATTGTCACATATTCCTACTCCGCTGCTATTTGAAGATATACGCATATTTTGACAAATACATTCATTTACAAATCGTTTTAGATGGGAGACTCTACTGGACACCAGCTGGTCTCTCGTTTATGATGTTCTCAAGCAATTGAATGTGCTTCACCAGGCCACCTCATGTTTAACTTGGTAAGACATTCGAGATATCGAATGGACGTAATACACTACTCAAAGTTTTCAGCAACTTTATGAGTAGTGTATTACGTATATACGCATATTGTAGCGGAGTATTTTTTTTCAAAGAACATGAGGTTTTCTCAAAATGACTTCCTTTCTTTCTGTATTTCACCCACAGAGTCGTTCCTTGTGGCTTTATGGCTTTAAGGACCGGAGTTAACTGAGAAGTACAGCTGTTAGTGACAGTACTCCAGGAGGATCGTAATGCGAGGAAATTCCGTTCGGCGCGAAACGAAACTTTCTTCATGGGGAGGGACATTGTCGTAGTTGTCTAGCTCAAGCTTGGAATGATCTACTGCTTGTTGTAACAGCATCTGAAGTAAGACTAGTGTGACGAAATTCATCATGAAGTTGTTGCCTATAAAGTTGAGAGAAGGCTGGACGGCAGACTGAATCACAGCAAACGTACCACACTCCAAGAAGTGTGCATGCAATGCAGATTGCCTCCTAACAAAAAAACGACTCTATCAAATAATCAGTTAGCTCCCATAAGTCCAGAACGCTGAGTCCTGTGCAAACAGGGGTAGGAACTTTCGAGCTTGATACAAGAGGAGAACACCAGAAGAGATACCGTCTACAACGTACAGGGAGAGGATGGACTGACAGAGGCGGAATCAGTAAGATCAAGCAAGTCCGTTTTGAGCTCTGAACCGATGGTCGTGAGATTTGTACGTGAGGATGGTTGCAACCGCCGCACAAGCCACGAAATCGAGAACTGACTAAGTCCAGCGGTTCCAGGTGGATCACAAAGGCGCTCGATATTCGGTTCGACCAAACACGCCACCAGGTCAGCGGACGCTGTTGTGACATGCCCCAGTACTCCCACAAAGTCCGTGGCTACTGAGCAAGAGTCAAGAGATCGCAAGGCCACATTCTGGAACCGACTACAACGCAACCGTTCACATTCTATAAGTGTGACCAGACCATTGAGCTTTTGACCGAGCCTGTAGACGTAAGAGAGGACGGGAAGATCACTTGTCATCGATACACTTTAGTCCTGTTTGGAAGACATCAGGAGCATCAACGCTCCTATGCACACAAAGATAAGTAGCAAGCAGCGAAATTTAAAACATCGTATCGTCTCAGATTCTGGACTCAAGAGTAAAAAAAACGGGAGACAAACCGTTTTCTTGGGCTTGGTTGTAAAATTGCGAGACGCGGAATGAGAATAGCGCACTGGAAGGGAAAATATTATTTGGTCGTATAGATGAGTCATATGAGAAGACTAAGCAAATCTTCTTAACGTTTGGGTAAAGAATCGGTAGTTTTTAATTGTTTGTTTCTGAAACGATGACTTATCAATCGGTTCCAAACTTTTCCAAATGATCAAATCTTCTCAAGCTTATAAGAAATGGGCCGTTTTACGACTTGCCATATAACAATGACCGATATGTGTGTGTGAAGGGGGGGGGTGGTGCAGGGCTAAAATAAATGTTAAGTCAGAAGCTGATCAATTCGTACGCATCGATCCTGTTAACCTTAAGAGGAATCGTAAAAAATTAAGCGACCAAATGACCACAGGGTGTATCACAGCATTTTATCACAGTAAACTTAGCTCGTGAAAGTCCTTAGCATGGTCAGTCCGAGTGTGATTCGTCGGAGCGACTGGAGAGGTTAGAAAATCGAGGATAATTCGTGCAGTGGGAAGGGGTTGGGGAGGGACATCGGTGGACGCTGAACTGCCCCCACCCCCCGCTTGACAACTCACTGACAGTGCTGGATTTATGCACCAATTTACCAGCTCGCGCGTGCAATGCGCAGCTACTTACCCCCCAA